ATACTCCCAGAACAATTCAACACAGCTGCTGACCATCTTCCTGTGACAGCTTTTGCTGTCATCGAGTTACTCACTGAGTGGGTGCTTCCAGGCCAGCTGAGCCTGTGGCTGACTAATCTTACTTCCTCCTCCTACCCCCTCTTTGCAATCTTACAAAAGTCTTACTGCAGTTACAACTCTGTCTCAAACCCCAGATTCTTTATTTTGCATTAAAGCATGTCTATATTTTTGTCAAGTATTGTAGAAAGTCTGTTCAACAGCAAAAAACAGATATATGTACAGAATGAATTATCACAGTAATATCTAGATTTCATATTTAAAATGTTCTTCACTAAATTCCAAAGTATTTTACAATCCTGTAAATGTTATGATCCCTATGCACAAACGGAGAAACTGAGGCACAGAAATGCAGTGATTTTCACTTAGCACTAACTGTAAGAATCCCTGGATGATTTCTGAATGATCTTAACTGGCAGCACTGGGTGAAACTGTACTGAGAGAAGAAAAAAAAAATCCCCAGTTACATGTTTTACCAATTTAGGACATCAGAATGGGCTGCTGTGAGTAGGAGCTTTCACTGTAGCAAATAACTTTTGATTTTTTTTCCATTAAGTGGCTGCTTGAATAGAGGCATAATATTGCTTACTTGAACTACAGTAATCAACAGGAACGTGAATTATTTAGGCTGCCGATGACCACTACAGGCACTTTAGGTTTGTCATCTGTTATTTACAGTTGTGGCTTGACTCCTTACCAGGACAGTATGTGATGAATGGACCAGTGACAAGATGGCATGAGATCTGCTAAAGAATGAAGGTAGCCTACTGAAAGAAGCATTGGTGTTTACTCTGGGTGTTTACAGATTGACTTAAAATATAGAAACCTGTCTGGCTACTGTATAACTTCAGAAAATTTGAGGATTAAGACCATAACTAAACTACCATGTCTCATTAGAAATTTCTATCCTAAATTTATTGAATAACCTGAGAAAGATTAAGATACATCATTTCAGGAGCGAAGGCAGGTCCATCTCCACTTTTAGGACACTACCTTTGCAATAAAACCAACCCATCCATTCACAAATTCCGTTCCACTTCTAGGTATGATTTTATAGTATCTCTTCTACTCCAGTTGTAAAGGAAACAAAGGAAACTAAACTCTTATTCCTGGAAGGTGTTGAAACATCAGTTTCTATGAAAAAAAGAAGAATGTATTATATTCAGTTTGCTAATGAGCAGCCTGAATGATCTTACTAAGAAACAATTTCCCAAATATGCCACTGAAGCAAAAGAGTTAGAACAGCCAAGTCCCAATTTTCTATTTCCCACGAGGCACGTATGTGTGTGCAACTGCGTACAGAAAATCCCCACCAATCCAGAGGCCAGCTCTGATTTATAAATTCGTTCTTCTAAAGCAGAGCCAACCAACATAATCTTGCTCTCATTACTACACAGAATTTGTTGCCTAACTATAGGGCAACTGATTTATCAGTTAGAATATTTCCTGGAGAAGTTTGTAACGGACTGTTTGAGTAAGAACAGAGGTTGATTTTTCTCCGGCAAGAGAGCAAGCTCGAAACAAAACTTCCCAGGTTTTCAAAGGCACGAAGTCCCAGCGGTCTGCAACTCATCACCATTAGTGCCTCCACAGCATCCCCACAGTTAATGGAGAGAACGACCTGCTTTCTGTTGAGCCAATACAGGGGGAGCAGCTCTCTTCTTTGCTGTCTACAACCTGCTGAAGCAAGCAAGGCTGTTGGCAGTTATTAATAACCCCATCTCCAGACATGCTGGAGAAGTGTGTAGTCATGCTTCTGAGCTGTCCTTAAGCAATTCCCATCTCCCTACCAGAAAGTTGTAATCTGTCAGAACATGGTTCTAAGAATAGACTCGCAGAACATTATGTGTCAGGGAGGGGGTAGACCTCATCTACTGTCTCCTAAAAAATCTTTTTATAGAAGCTGTCTAAAAATAGCCTGGAAGCTTAAAAAGGGAATGCGGCTTAGTTTTTGAAAAATAAAAATAAAGTTCTGCAGTACCTTCAATTGCAACCTTTTAGAACCAGGATTTAAGTTACAAGATTTGCCATTACAGTGCTGTTTTTAAAGCACACATTTCCAGAATAAAATAATTACAGAAATACCCACAGGTTACCTCTAATTTAAAACTAATTATGCGATGAGGCTATAAAATCAAGGAATCTGAAAAAAACTAGTGAAGGCTGTTTCGTGAATCAAGATTCCAGAGGGCTGTCAAATGTTCCCGATGAGTTCACACAAGGGACAGAAGATTGCTAACAAATTCTGATACATCTGATATATCAAATTCTGAAATACCACTTGCAAGTGATATTCCATTGCAGTGATGTGAAAGAGAAGACTAAAGATGTGGTATCACTAGGCAACAGACACCAGTAATTGTCCTAGTAGCTGCCCTCCTGTCTGGAATCCAAAATTTCCCCCAGAGAACCATGTAGCATTTTCTATGTGGAAATAAAATACAATAATTGAAAATTAACATGGTGCAATTGAAAAAAATGTGGTGTAACATTTGTTGAAAAAACCCACACAACTTCAAATTATTTTGCTGTTCTTTACAATCTTATTGATGAATTAGCTCCTTCGCTGTTAAGAACTGAATACTACCAGCCTATAAAATCCCACTGTTAGAAGACTTGTTCACATTCATCAGTAACATCAGAAACTCTACTTTTTCAAACTTCTGTCTGAGAAGAAAGAGTGTGCGTACCTAGGAGTATATGTCTGTATGCTGTCCTCAGAATATACATATGGCACTGAACAGCAAAGAAATTGTCTTGATACAAGCAAATAAATCGATATAGGAAACAGTAATGTAGAAGCACCACAGAAGGCTTATATTGCAATGATGACTAATATACCTGAGCGTATCAAGATCTCCTATTTTTTTCTGGAGACCAATTTTCTAAGGGGCTAGTGAGAGGTTTTGAAAAACTAATTTTTCCAACAGATGCTGCTCAACATAGTGAAGATAAGTTAAAAAAAAAACAAACACGTGACTTACGCTGGAGCAAGAAGCAGGTGTGATTTGCAGTGGTCTCCCGCTGTGAAGAGTTTCCACTGGATAGCAAAGGATTTTTGTCTCCTGAATGGATGAACAATATCCTTTAGAGAAAGCATCTAAGAATCAGAGGTGCCAACCACAGTCATCATCGTCACTGAGTTCATGCAGTCTTTTAAAGAAGCTATGACAACTAAGTCATCAGCACCTTCAATGAAAGTTAGAGAAGCCTTAATTTTACTTAATATTTCCTAGGAAACTAGAACAAGGCCTAATGTGTTTGTGGTCACAGGTTCACACACAAACCCACACACGTAGTGCACATGACAGTGTTCTGTGCTAAGGGACTTGTAGCAAGGTGCATTCACATACAGGTTTATCACACTGTGGCCATCCAGGAGAAAGGCAAGAATCCTGAGCAGCAGTTCCCCCGGTTGTTACAGTCTGCTTCTGGCCATCAACTTTGAAGTAACTGTTTATCCCCACTATGCCTATGGACTGCAGCTTACTCCTTAAATGCAGTTTCACTCCATTCTTTTAATTTCTAGGCCTCACTTGCTTCATACAGTTTATAACTGTTTATTTGGTTTTGTTCACACTGTCCTTGAGCTTAAAATCCTCAACATGTTTTCTTTGTCCATCAGTATAACCACTGTCTTGCTTGAATTCAGCTTCAAAAGGCTGTTCTTCATTCAAGGGCTGCCCTCATCCTAGTAGAAGGATTTCCTTGTGGGAATAATGAACTGGTACACGGCAGAAGATACATAGAACTGTGTTGCTTCTGTTTGATGCTTGAGCCCAGATCAGCCCCCCCTGTAGCTGCACGTAGAAACTTGATGGGAACGATGGAGAGAGCTGATCTCCACAAATGTGGAGGAGTCTTGTAGTGGAGATGTGGTCTCCCACTTTGGTTGCATCTCTCCGAGTAGTATGTAATACATTTTGGGCCGCGGCTGCCCCCTCTGTCTATGGCTTACTGAATGTAGCATTGCAAAAACACCCAGAATGGATGTCTGTCAGGAAAAACATTCAAAAAGAAACCTTTGCCACTGCTAATGGGAACAATCATCTCTTGACTGGTGATTTCTGGCTACGCTTCTGGAAGTTATCAGAGTAACTACAACTTTGCAGCTACAGAACAAAGTTAGATGTTGCTGAAGTTGTGAGGCTTCCACCGACAACTGTGTGCAATTGGTGTGCCACAGTCAACCACCAGAAAAGATGCAATGGCATGAAGATATCAAGAAGAGGTTGCAGCCATTCCGGGAGGCTTTATTCCAAGGCTCTCCGAAAGAGTAATTCCGTGAAAGGCACTGAGACACAGTCGGCTGATGTGACCTAGAGATGCTTCATGGGTGAGAGCTCACGGTGCTGGAGCCGTTTCAGGTACAAGAGCAGCAGGCAGCTCACTGATGTTTGTCTCTACTTCTTGTCTTTTATCAATATTGTATAAACATGGCATTGTCTTTGAAACGCCTCGGGACTCAGTCTCCAAAAGAAGTGACACAAGTAGCCCCAGAGCTGCAGGGTGCATGGGGCATGTGCGGTGAGTTTCCTGCACCCCTGAAGTATCCAAAACGTGTTACTTTACGTACATAAAACCCAGGCCTTCCCCCTGAAAAGGCATTACAGGTACTGCGAAGGTTTGGCAGGCCGAGCAGAGGGAGTCTCAACGGGGCTGGGCGGGCAGCACCGAGGAGGCCGTCCCCACCAGCGCTAGGTACCAGCCCGCTCCCCCCCTGCCCTGCCCGCCGCCATGAGGGGCCGACTGCCGCGCGGGCCCGGGCCACCCCCGCCGCCCACAGGGACTCGCTGCCGCCGCACACCGCGTTTTGAAGCGCCTCAGGGTTTGCTGCCGGGGACGGGACGGGACGGGACAGGGCGGTGCTGGGCAGTGAGGGAGGTGCCGCCGGCCCCGCCCGGGGTAGGCCCCACCCGCCGGCCCGCTCGCACTACGTTTCCCGGCGTGCCGCGGGGCAAGATGCCGCCGGAAGCGGAAGGGCGCTCGGTGCCGGCTTCCGGTGCTGTGGCCGGTGGCGGGCGGCTGAAAGGACGCGGCGGCGGCCGCCCAGGTAACGGCTGCGGGTAGAGTATGCGGGCGGGCAGGCAGCGATGGAGGCAGCGGCAGCGGTTCCCGCCTGGCCGTGGTCGCGCTCTGTGTCGGGAAAGCGCTCGTGTCTGCGGACAGGGCAGGGCAGAACAGAGGGAGGTCGGGCCGCTTCGCCTTTAATAACAGAAGCGTGAGGTTTGGTATCCCTTGAAGAGTTTCCTGCGTGCCTCCGGGACGGGATTGCCCCGGTTTAAACCGTGTCGGTCCCAGAGGCGAGAGCGAGAAGGGGCGGCGGTGGAGCCCCGTCCCCCGCGGCGCGGCCCGGATCCGCCCTGTGCCTGTGCCCCGCTGTCCCGGGCAGGGCGCGAGCCCCGCCGCACGTGCCGCCTCAGCGCTCGCCGGCTTGAGGGGCGCTCGCCGCCTGTAAACAAAGTCGTTATTAATTATTTGTCAGCATTGGAAAATGCACATTTCTGGTGATGTTCTGAAGCGCTTAATGTGAAGTGGTTTTAAAAGGGGTCTTGTTTCTTTCTTTTTTATCAGTATATCGTTAAACTGTCTCCAGTTGTGCTTTTTTAAGCGTCATTGTAAGTTCGAAGCAATTTCTTTATTTTTCCCCTCTGTAGGCGGTGAAAACCTAAGATGTTTATATGTGCCTTCCTGCTTCTGTGAAATTTGGGGTAATACTTTAAGTATTTTAAGTGATGTTTTGTAGCTTTTAGGTGTATTGTTTTTGAGATGAATGAGACCAGCTGCATCTAGACAGTTTGTTAACTACAGCAAGTATTATTTATAAGTGCTTCTATTTTTATACTGGGCGATGATATTTACGTTATGGACAAGAAAAGCATGTTTCAGGAATAATTCTGTGGACGTACATATAAGGAAGGGTGTAAAACTTAGGTGGGTGAGTACCAGTAGAAAAACTGTGAGAAGACCCAAGCTTGGAAACTTTTTTTAAAATTTATGATGTACCTTCAAAGAGTACCTCTCAGTAAATAGTCTTGTACCACATTTAACCACTAAGGAGGCAGATGTCAGCATCTTAAATAATATGGACTTCTAAACAACTGACAAATAATGAAGAATATACTGCACAAATTTTATTTATCCTTAAGATATTCAGGAAATTAAATTGTCAGTCTCTTGTACCCTGAGCAATTACAAAACTGGTTTCTTTCAGAGGGTGTTGTGCAATAAAAAAGGATACGGTGTCCATTTGAGTTCCATCTTGTCCAGGACTGGTTTCCTCTCTGCTGTCAGCATGGCAACACCACTTCGAACTGCGTGGTCTAGCTTCTTTCGGATGCGTTCAGTAGCAAACAGTAAGCAGGCCCTGCTGCAGAGTAAGTAGTGATGAATTTGTCTAAGTCCCATATTAAATTCTTTTCTTTGAGAACCTCTTTCCTGTACTCTTTAAAGTAATGGAAGCGTGGAAATGAATTTTTATTTTAATAGAATCAAGTCTGATATTCTGTGTTCTCTGCTAATAATTAAAGGATATCTTGATTTGGTTTTTTTTTTTTCTTTTAAAGCTTCCATGGTCCGCATATGACACTCCTTTAACTTACTGATTACTTTGTAAATATCACTCCTCTAAACCCTGATTATATTTGAAGATTTTAATTTATTTTTTCAGGCTTACAAACAGTGGTAAGAAAAGGCTACTGTAAAATCTTGTTACTTAACATAAACAGAGAACAAGTGACGACAGGCAATATTATTTCTTAGCTTTGTGTCTATGTTTTGGATGTCGATAGAAAGATGTGGGGGAGATAGTAAAGGTGATAGAAAAGACAAGTATTGAGAAAATATAGTGGACGTTACATTTTAGAGGTTAGTGGGCAAGGGGGGAAGAGAAATCTTAGGAAGAAATATGAACTACTTGCAGTAACATTTTACAAGAACTCAACTTCTTAATAACTAAGAATGGTTTAATTAGAATGAAAGCATGGAAGTGCTAGCAAATTCTAACTTCAAGAATTTAATTTCTAAAATATATAGTTTAAATTTAGATATAGCTAATATATTTAACTTAAGAATTTTACAGCTAAAATATTTTGGAGAGGAAAAAAGCTGCACAGAAGTTTCTTCTTGATTCTTTCAGCTTTCCCAGTTTTGACACACTGAATGCTCTCCCTCTCCGTTACGAACAGCCAAGAAGAATCCAGTTTGTATTAAAGCTAAAGATGGTCTACATAAAATAACGTCAGAAAAATATTGAAACCTTTTTATGACTTATTTGAAAAGAGGGGGCTCAGAACATGTGAAGACTTAGTTCTCATGATCGTAACTCAGTTCTTCAAGTGTAGTGGTAGCAGAAGCTTCACTGGACTCGGAAGCTTACACGTGGATGTGTGTCAGGTTCCAGCAGCAAAGGAAAGGGTTTGCCAATACAAGTCAACTCCAGACACCTTCCAGGCCCCTCTTAGGCATGCACACCTACATGGTTGTGGAAGGCAGGATGCCTATAGAATGGTTCCTTTATAAGGGACTGTGACTATTGCGTGTCCTCTGTTAGCTTTATGGTTGGACTTGATGATCTTAAAGGTCTTTTCCGACTTAAAAGTTTTTATGAACAAAAGGGAATGGGAAATGGGAAAACTCTGTTGGAAGGGCCTCAGGTGGTCTGTGGTCCAGCCTCCTGCTCAGAGCAGGCTCTGCCCTGCAATCACACCAGCTCACTCAAGGCTTTGGAGCCCAGCTGCAGCCAGGTCTTTGAAATCTCCAAGGGCAGGGACTGCACAGACCTGCTTGAGCCCCAGTCCCAGGCTGTCCTCATGAGGAAAACATTTTTTTATGTATCCAGCCAGAGCCTGTTGTTTCAACCTAATGGCTGTTTTTTCATGTCCTCCCACTGTGCACTGCTGTGAACAGACTGGCTCCCTCTCCTCATTAACCCCAAAACTCTCTCTGCTCCAGGTCTCCCCAAAACTCTCTCTGCTCCAGGCTGAGCAAGCTCCGGTCCCTCAGCCTCTCCCCACAGGGCAGGTGCTGCACCCCCTGACCATCGTGGTGGGTCTTTGCTAAACTCAGTCAAGTTTATCTTTCATTAAAGGGCCCCAAACTGGCCATAGTATCCAGATGGGGTCTCACAGGAGCTGAGTAGAGGGAGATAATTCCTTCCCTCAGTCTGCTTAGTACAGATGCCAACAGGCCTTCGTTACCACTTGCAATTAATTGTGATTGCTGTCCTTAGAGCAACAGGAACCTGGGGAGAGGTGTAAAGTACTCTAGTGTTACAGCAGCCAGGACATTATAGTTCTGTGTTTTGTGTAGCATGTATAGCAGTCACCAGTGAAGTAAAAATTTGATTTTTTTATAATAAACATTGTTATAGATGACACCACGATCTTCCCTGTAAGTCATAAGGTAATATTCTTTTGCATATATAAAGAGTATGCTCTAATGGTGAAATATATAGGTATTTTGTTCATACTGTGATTTTTTTTTTTTCCTTAGGAAAACAACACAATTGGAAAGGTAAATGTAGGCCATAGCTACCTAAATACTGTATTTTTAATTGCACTAGAAATATGTGTAGTAAAGTGAACTTCTGTTTAGACAGTGTTTGGGATTTGTTAATCTAAAACTGAGTACAATTATAATCTTTGATTAAGACTTAGAACAGAATGAAAATGAAAACGTTCTCAGATTTGGCACACCTCTGCTTTTTTTTTTTTTTTTTTACAATGGTGTTCTTTTTTTGTTTGTTTTCAGATGGAGCTGTGTATCTTGCTTGCCATAAATCGACATACTCAGTTCTCCCTGAAGACTACAATTGGTACTTAAACATGCTTTGATGTGTGGCCTTTTCATGTGATGTTTATTCCGGGGCTGCTTTCTCTCTTGTAAGGTTGTCATATAATGGTATCAAATACATCTTCTGCCACTTTTTCGATATATGTAATGATTTTAACTAAAGTGCTTGTTCCGGTCATAATGATTGTGAAGTTAATATGTCAAAAAATAAGCATAATAAGAAATCATACAGGACTCATTCTAAACATGGTGATGATGCCAGGACTCCTGCAGTTTGGTTTGTGGAAGAGCAAAAATAGCTAAGAACAGTCATTTTCACTGATGCCTGTTGTTAAGACAAAGTCCAGGTATTTTTGTGCTGCTGCATGGGAAACTTGCCTAGAAACCAGAAAAGATGATAAAAATGTAGTGAGAAGCACAGCATCTGTCATACAAGATTTTAGGAAGCTAATGTGTCGTGGGAAGGGGGAGGAAGGTGAGAAAAGTCATATTCCCTCAAGGAAACTCTCAGTAGACTTGTTCATCAGGATCATCATCTGTTACCAAATGTAAAAGCTGGAACCCCAAACAGAGCTTTCTTTCCTATTCTTTCTTTTGTAGGTGCCATATGTCTTCTAAAGGCATGTTGTCCTAGAAATCATTATCCTCCTCTTTTGCTATGGTTTTGTATGCAATTATTCAAAGATTTACCAAAAGATTTTTTCCAACCCATATTTCCAGATATCCTTTTCCAGATATCTTTTTTAGCCCTTTTTACCTCTTCAAAAAAGAAAGATGAAGATGGCCAAAAACAAAAAAAAAAGGAAGGAAAAAAAAAAAAGAGGAAGTTCAGATCAAGTATTTGTGACCCTTATTTTATAAGGATATATTTTATAGAAGATTCTTAAGAATTCATAAATGCAGGGTCAAATCTGGTTTTCTTGGGGACTCTGGCTGCTCGGTTGCTCAGCATTTATGAAAATTGTAAGGATGTATTTAAGAGTGTAAGTTCTTATTTTTATAGCAAAGTGGACCTGGCAGTGACATCAGATTTGAAGACAATCGTCTGCTACCATCCTTCGCTTGAGATTCCATACGAGCATACAAAAGTATGTCCAAATATACACACTTATCTTTCTTACTCTTGTAAAGGCATAAGTAGTTCATAATTTTAGGTCTTTAGGGTATCTTTTTTAAAATTTGAAATACTGAGATACTTTTTAGTATGCGATGAGCATGTCTGTGAAGTAAGTGAATGATGACTATAGCTGCTGCCATGAGGAGGACCTTATTCTTAGTTGAGTTAAGGGGAAGATGCAGAGTAAGAACGCTCAGATATCACAGAGTACAGTAATTCAAGTAGAATTAAATGAGGCACTCAAATGCTTGTGCACCACAGAGAAAACTCGTGTCTGTCTCTGAGCATACTCCTCAAAGAGGATGCGTGAAATGCAGTTTATAGTTCCCATGTCCTACTGTGTACAGATGCAGCAGTCTGGGCAAGAGGCTTTATAAAGAAGTGCTGCTGCTGGTTTCAACTTGAGCTTTAAATTCCATTCAGCACTCTGGGTTCGTAAACACCACAAAAAAAAAAAAACTCCTTTAAATATTATATCAGTATATATACATATCAATATGTTCTTTACACTGATGAATGTAAGTCTAGCTAGGCTTTTCTAGCATACACATTTTGTTGCTATTTCCAGTTCTCACGTGCTAGTGAGATACTGCAAACGGTAGCTGCATTGCTGAAGTACCCAATGTGAAAACTTCCCATTGATAACTTAAAACACTTTACTGCTCTTTGCCTGCAAGCTACTTATCAGTATTTTTAAACTTGTCAGTTGTACATCTCAGGAAAAACAGGTGTAAAAGACGAAAACAAGGAAAAATACTTCTAACGGTGCTAATAGTTAGGTTTCAGGTTGAGAACAAACATCTTGGTCTAAGCAGATGCACAAACAATTAGGAAGTGACATTCTTCTCCAAGGTACAAATCATCTAAAGGCTTTTTTAGCAACTATGATCGTCACTATGAATAAATTTCTAAATAGGAATAGCGTGAGTACTTTTGTACGAGTAGAACTGAAGCTTATGATTCAGCTAGTGAATTGTAAGGATGATATCAGCAATAATGATGACAGCAGTGCTGATTTTAGGGGAAGGGTAATCAGCTCTAGCACCTGGGGTAATTAGAAGTTTCCAGACATCTGCTGCACAGTGGTAGGGTTTTTTTCAGGGCGGGTAAGGGTGTGGTGAACAGGCATTCTTCTGTATGCCTTCGGTTTCAGCTGTTAAGAGTAAATTGTAATTTATGTAGGTTGGCTTTTTGATTTTTCTCAAAAAAAAAAAGGAGAAAAAGGAAATATATACATTACTGTTTTTACAGCCAATGCCACGGCCAGATCCAGTGAATAATAAAGAAGAAAACCTTGATCAAGTTCTGAAATCCAGATTGAATGAAAAGGAGCTGAAGAACAGTAGAGGTCCTACAATTGAACAGCTCAGCAAAATGTTTTACACAACAAAACATCGCTGGTATCCTGTGGGACAGTAAGTATTTTCTTTTCAATGTTTGTTCCTTTGGGATTTAAAAGGAGGTACAGGAATAATTTAATGACTAGATTCAACCTAGCAGAAGTCATGTGACACAAGATACTCCTAGCCCATGGGCTGCTACATAAAATCTTAAATGCAGTGTTGAGTAAATGGAAGACTGTATTTTTTAAGGGGGTTTTTTATAACACTGCCCCTTTGGTAGACTTTGCAATTTTTTACATATTTGTTTTCTAAAATCTGGCACAGAGTAGAAATTCCTCATACCATCCAGTTCACTACTGGTTGAGGTGATTTATTAAAGTTGCATAAATCCTCAAACCAGGACACAGCATAAGAGGATCTAGTATGTAAGATACCCTCAGTGGATATGACCAAATACAGCTTAGAAATGTGCATTGTCTGCTCCTTAACACCTTTTCAGAAAAGAACTTCAGGAGGATGATTCTCAGAGTTCAGAACAGGAGAGGTTTTTCATTTGAAATGGTGAAAAGCGCACCTTGGTGCACCTTGTACTCAGAAAGCGAGGAGGAGAGATACAAATAGAATCATAGAATTGTTCAGGTTGGAAGAGACCCTTGGGATCAAGTCCAACCATCAACCCTACTCTGCAAAGTTCTCCCCTACACCATATCCCCCAACACCACATCTAAACAACTCTCAAACACGTCCAGGGATGGTGACTCAACCACCTCCCTGGGCAGCCTATCCCAGTGTCTGACCACTCTTTCTGTGAAGAATTTTTTCCTAATGTTCAGTCTAAATATGCACGACTGAGCTTAGAGAGGATCTATATACATTCAGATACACCTCTGGAAACACATGGCATTCTAGTTACTCTTTTCCAGTCCATGTTACCACACCTTCTGGTAGCTGCTAATTTATAGCTCTGGAGACTTGATACAGGCAGAATTACATTATTTTGTTCACAGAAAACTTTTTAGTTACTATGTTTTAGGGATAGATAAAAGGAATGGCGTGGTAGAACTTTCTATGGCCAAAGGGGAGCTGTCACTTTAATGAGCATCAAAGAGGATCCTCCTTGTTTTAGGGTGGGTAATTAAGAGGAAAGTAGGGATCATTTTTGTTGTGAAGAATTTGGTTTGTAGTTTGCCTGCAAAATATTACACTGTTTTTAAGGTACAGTCTAGCATAACTCCTTTAAACATCAAGTCTCTTTGTTCTGTAGCAATCATTTTAGCCGAAGGAAAAGCTGACCATGTAATAAAATTAACTTCACACAAAGGATTAAGAATAAACAGCAGCCTTTGTACCTACTCAGCTGTAGACCTGATTGGATTATTGCGTGCTTGCAGCAGATGCAGCAATAGAAATGAGTAGCGTTATGTAACTCAGTGAACAACAGAGATGACATCTAATGAGTGGTGACAGGTTGTGCTTGTCTGTCTTCTGGTTTGCTTCCTTGTGTGACCTCCAGACCACTCACCAGGGCCGGGGCGGGTGGGGGGGAGAAATGTCAGGAGAACGGAAGACTGTCCAAAGCTCGCATTCACTGCAGCTTTTTTTAATTCTAGGTATCACAGAAGACGCAGGAATCCTAATCCTCCTAAAGACCGATAACTAAGATAGCTTCTTGTTCGTCAGCACTTTGCCATTAATCTTTATTGGAAATAAAAATTACAGAAAGTGAAACGTTTGGCAGTTCTGTGTGAGTGATATAACTAAACCATGTTTAAGTAAATACGAGTGTTTTTTTTTCTACTTCAACTAGTTGACAAAAAACCAACAAAGCTAATGAAACGAGGATGCAGTGCAGGCTGTTGTACACGCACGGTCAGGAAGGTGCTAGTGTTAAACTGTGTGTAACAGGTGATGGTGTGCTCCGATTAAACTCGACCAGGGGCTTGGCATTGGTAAAATGAATGCATAGAAGTCTTATGTCAAAATGGGAAGTGGAGAACTGGACACGTCAGGGTTTGGTGTTATTTTGGGGGAGGATTATTATTTATTTTTTTAGAAATCTAGTAACTGAAATGCTGGTGAGCTCGAATACTGAAGTATTAGTAAAATAGTATTGATGAAAACTATTGAGAGGTATTTATGAAAATGATGGAGGTAGTTTTGTTTCTTCTATTATGTTTATAAAATATCTGATTCCATGTTTAATTCTACATCAGCCAAGTGATTGTATTTAAGGCTATTGTCATGTACTGAAAACTGGCCAACTTGGTTAAATTTTAGCTTCCAAGGCATAATAATAACTCACCCTTCTAAGTCACCCAGCATTCCCAAATATCTGAGGTAACTTCTCTGTGCATTCGTGGGTTGGGGTTTTGTTTGGGTCTGTTTTTTTTAACCCCACCCCAGCTACTGTTCAGTGAGGATGGTGTGTTCATATATAAATGGGGATCGCTGTAGCTCAGGGCAGGAAGAGTTGTTGGCCTCAGCAAGGTAATCTGTGAGGACTCCCAGCTCTTTCTAGCTTACCTAGGGGGAAGGGTTGGCCCTTTATTACATAAAACCCTTTCAATTAGTTTGATTCTACTTCCTAGCTTTAGCGTTTTGTAGGGCTTAAATGTTTCTGCTATTAAAATATTGTCATCTAGCTTTTTTTTTTTTCTCGGGAAAAAGAGATTCTTTACTCCAACCTACAGTTTTATGCATCAGCATTCTGATAGAAAGGCTAGCTTGGAACATTGTGCCTCTGCAGAGATCCCAGTGACTTCATTAAGTCTTTTTAGCAGATCCTAATAAATATCCAGAAAATAATCCCATATATTTCAGACATCTTGATTGTATTTGCTTTCCAAATCAACTTGGGTAAGATAGGAAGGTTCTTGTTTCTTGTGTTAGCCTCGTGTCATTTGCCAGCGTTTGTTACCCATGCATTTTGCTGCAAGTGGAGTAAAGTCTCTAATCCTGGTCATTGTTAGGATAAAGGACACTTATTTTTCTAAAGTTATTACTAAATAACCTTTTTTTCCTCAAATTTCCTTTAATTGTGGAAAAAGTACTATCGTATACATGCAAAAAGACTGCCTTTAAATACTTCTGGAAAATTTGACATAAAGCTAGTCTAAGTATGTATCTTAGTATTATTTTGACAAATGCGTTCTTTTTTAATCCAATGCCAGTGAGCTGCTAATGGTTTGTTGTGGCAGAGCATGACATTGTTTTGCTGATTCTCTCTGTTCTGCTTGTAAGATAGCCCAGTCTGTCTGTAAGCGCTCATCAGCCAAATGATTTTGGCTCCACGTTCTATGATGTGTTGCTCGTGTGATAACAAACATGCTATCATGAAGGAATGTCTGTTGTGTCTGTGAAAAGGATCGCTGCTTGCTCTGCAAGTTCAATCGCATGAAAATACTATTTTTTTTTTTTTTTTTGCCTGGAATATAACTTTAAAAATAGTTTCTCATAATTTCTAGTACCACAAATTTTACTCTTTTCATCGATTCATGGTGCCTGGTACTGACGCTGGTCCGTAAGTGAGAAGTTTACATCTTGTGTTCAGAGTGTTGTTAAGTTCTGCTGCATAACATCAACCCCCCTTTATTTTTGGAAAGCTGACGCCTAATTTGTCACTGCTTGACTTATCTTTTCTTGCACTGGAGTAATCCTTGGTTTAATTTAAACTTTCATTTGCTTCCCCCCTCCTTTCCCCCCAGCTTATTGCTGCCTAATACTATTAAGACATTTTGCTTTACAGAAACCTTCTGTTATCACATTTGTCTGTTCTCGTCTGTCTGACCCTGTTTATGATCAAGCATCCACTGTCACTGTAGAAATGTTGGATTTCTCAATGTTTCCCAAACATTTTTGGATGCTTTTCAGGCATTTTGAGGGGTAAAAATCTATGATGTGCTAGACTGCTATCTTTAAAGTACTTCCTCTTCTGGCCAGTTAGGAAACCGAGCCTAAAGCACATGTTTGCTACATGTACCCTCTTGCCATTTCGTTACTACATTAATTCATTAATTAATTAAAATCCTACTCTCACAGTTATTCCAAGCTGCCCTCTTCGTTTTCTAGGTCTTGAACAACTACATAAAGCTGTCATTATCTGTTTCTCTTTACTTGGAATTAGAAATCCATCCATTTGATCCTTGTCCAACTTCTATGCAAAGGAATAATCCCTTTGAAGGTTGGTTTGGGGACTCCTGTTTCCTGTCGCTCTTGTTCTTTGCAATTGAAAACTTTAGTTGCATAGAATTCACAGTGTTAATTCTGCTCTGCTGTCCTTGTATCCCATGTTAGGCATGTAGCCATTTGCTGTGTATCCAGCAGTGTTCATACCTTATCAGGCTCATTGTTGTGGATAATATACAGTTGGGTACATCTTCCTGATTTTTATTTTTTTTTAACATCTGCCTAGAAGATTTCTTGGGCTCTGCTTGCTAGTGTGCCATTAGAAAACTCCTGTCAGTCAAGCGTCCAACTGATTGTCCTCAACTCAGACCACATAAGTGGCGGTTCAGTTTACTTGTTGTCCCAGCAAGAAGAAAGTTCTTTCACTTCCTCTAGTTGGACCTGAATTAAAAAAGGAAGCATGCTTTTAAAACATATTGATTTTTGCCTTTTATGTGCAAATTTTGTTGTTCTGCGCATTCTTGGTTCTACCACCAGGAGGCAATCTTGCACAATAACGCAACTGGATTTGTCTGAAACCTTAGGGGATTTAGTGATCTCATCAAATTTGACACAGTGAGAGACCTGCATGAGCTGTTCTTTAATTACATTTGTAAAATGAACTCTCTAGCAGTTCTGCAAGTGGTTGGATTCAAGAGATCAGAGGTTCACTGGTGGGACTTGTCTGTTTACTTTGACTGATTTGACTTTTGTAGCGTGTAGCAGAGATGGATGTTCACACTTAAAACAAAAAAAAGCCTCACCCTCGCAGTTTTGAAAAAAATGAGCCAGCAGTGGAGCACTAATGCAACCCAACTGCCAAATACACCCGTGTGACAAGTGTCATATCTTCACGTGTCAGTTCCTCATGACTGTGGTGGAGGGAGCATCCATCCATCCATCCCCACCCCTCCAGTTTTTCAGCCCTAGAGGAGAATCCCCTCCTTGTCCGTTTGCTGTTGTAACAGGTCTGAATTTCAGCTGCCGTGTCTAAATTCTGCTGTGCCAGAAGAAATAATTGCCGCAGCTCTGCTCTAAGTCACAGCAATGATCACTGTTTAAAGCCAGCACGGCTTTTCTCGGTTATTCCCATCTTTATGAATTTCAGCAGCTGTTCTGCTGTAATTGCTCACAAGCTCATTCCAGCCTCAAAATGAGTACAGAGTTGTATAATGAAGAGATCAAATAGATGCAGGCTGCATTCCTCTGCTGTAACGGAAGACGTATATTTTGTTTTAATGCTACAATATATTAAAATTGACTGAAAGCCCGCCAAGCACTAGAATAAACATCAGGCAAATTGTGTACCTACAATACATAAAAGTTGGATTCATTGCTAAGATTGAGACCAAGTAATTAGACATCTAAGCCTGAGTTAATCTTTGTAGACTCCCCTTATAGTCAATTGACACACAAAAAAAGTACCTATACAAGGCAGCGGATTTTATTTTAAGATTTTACTTTCTGGAATGTGTCACACACTGTTCTCTGGAGGTGCTTCTTCCTTCTCGTCTGTGAAGGGAGGATGAAATCTAGGGGAGATTCAGATGAGCAAATGAAAGCCAGCATATATGTAAAAGAAAAATACTCCACTTAAGATAAAAACGTATTTGTTGTTTCTGCTAGCCTTCAGTAGCAGGTAGTCCACATATAGGAACTCTTTGTTTTCTGCATAGATTAATTCACACACATTTAATTTGTGATTTTTAATAAATTACACACAGGATTTTAATCTCATCTCCTTATATATAATCAACGCTCCAATGCTAAAAAACAATACTCAAGCTGTTACTTTTTTGTTTCATTTGGTGTATAGTCACAGGAGAAATAAAATAGTAACTTTATCTATCTTTATAGCATCTCTTCTAATGAGCTGATGATCCCAATTGCTACCTCTAGGTACTTCTAGAAAAATGAATGCAATAAATGATAATTTATGGGGTAATTTGCACAGAATTATCTGCAAATTTTAATACAATTTACACAGAATGTTAGTTCCACTATATGTAACTACAGCTGTTAGGAGAATGCAGGTCAGAAGGCAGGAGGTGTGTGGAAGCTGCGTGAACCAAAGAGCAAGTCTGGTCAGCAGCTTTGCATTGCCTGCCTTCTAGGGATGTAAAAGTTTATGGCCCAAGGTACCGCTTTATTCAGTGTCACGATGTAGGTGAGAAACGATAATCAGCGTATTACAAAGTTGTTCATCACCTAGAGGCAGCACAGGAGGTTGGAATGGCCTATAAAACTGAGAAACGTTGCCAACTAGTCTTTCTGAAAAATTAAAGGAGTATTAAATACAGAAAACAGTTGTGCTTATATTCAGCTTTACTGCTTGTCAAGATGAAAAACAGTCTTGGGTCAGAGGCAGTTTACCATTTTGAATAAGGCCAGCTTTGCCTGCTACCAAAGTTTACAATTCCTTAGCAAAAGAATCTCCCTACCAGCAAAATACGAGATAGCACAGAAAAAAAAAAACTGAAAGAGCTGTTTTTTAACATCTCTTCTGCCAAAACTAATAAAAATTTAACTATGTAAGTATCACAGAAAATGAATAGTGAAAAGTGACTGTTAAATTAGGCTACTACATTAAGCCATTATAGCGTAGAATAAAAATTAACCTAAGTAAAACAAAGTATGAACCTACTGTACAAACGTTTATTTCCTACTCAGTAACGCTAACAAAACAGAACTTTATAGTTTCATATAAAGATTAGTGTTTCTTAAATATTACTAGTCTTTCTCATTCAAATTTGTTGTATTTGTTTAAACAAATAATAAGCCAGTAGCATTTTTCTGTAGGAGTTATACTTGTCAGAACCTCATCCTCTTCACCTTCTGCTTTAGTTAAGACACATTGGGGATTTCAATTGAATAATAAACTAATGCCAGGAAAAAATTCCCCTTTACCCCTAATTAGTTAACAGTTGGTCAGTATACAGTAATGTAGGGCTTCACATCCCTCTTCCTATTTTTTATTATTTTGTAATTTTTAATCCTGACTGGTTTAAGTATGGATTCACTTGTTATTTTGCAAGAATGCCTCATATCTTTATAAAACTCCCTTTCCCCCATGCTGTTTTTCGTACAGCTAAAATCCTGGCATTAGTGATGGGGAAACTGAAGGTGGCAACAAGTTCCACAAACTTTAGAATTGGATTAAGAAAAAGGATTTCCTATCCAGAGTAAAGGCACAGTGCAAACAAAATCCACGGTAAGTGATAAGCAGAGATAAGAAAAACAACAGAGAAATTCCCTTTTTAGAGCATGTATTTGTATGTTCAAATCTAAAATAAACATGCTGTATGCTGGCTGCACGGGTTACAATTCATGGACTTTATATGGCCATATTTGTTGAAGAAAAATATTAGAAATGAACCCAAAGAGGCCACTGGTGAGGCTGAAAGGTGACACAATGGTCTGTGAAGAGAAGGGCAGTGGCAGTCCCGATGGAGAGCAGCTGTGCTTAGTACCTACACAGTGCTTGTGCAGACTGAGGGCAAAACCTTGAATTGCTGGATCTGGGTGAGTGTTTTGCTTCAATATGACCGAGATTTTAACTCATTACTTTGGAAATGATACATGAGAAGACTTATATTTCTTTAAGAGTGAAGCGTTTATCCTGCATTCAGAATACCTGTGTCTATGCTTTACCTCAGGCAGGTGGTCCCCAGCAGCAGACTGGTACTCAGGGTCCCCCTGAGCACATCCCCACTGCTGCAGGCTGGGGAGCAGCCTCAAGCTCCGGCTGCTGATGCCCACACCTCTTCCTTACTTCCCCCTCTTCTGCCCATCCCTCTTCAAAGCAATGGCTGGGCACCCCTGCAGGGAGAGTTCATACCAAGCGCTGCTCCCAAGATCACATCTTGCTTGATTTTTATCCTACGTGCTCTTCCAAACAGCTCAAGCTGACTGTGTACCCGCAAACATTACCACGTCCCAAAACATGCAATACATACCCACACTTCCATGCTAGGGAAGCTTTGTTCTCACAGGCTGCAGTATATACTTTCATATAATTTCAGATACTTCAAACTGGAAAAGATAAGAGAAAAAATTAGAATTACATGTTGGGTCAATAGGGGGACCAGAAAGAGTCCAAGGAGTACTGTGGGATGCTGATATAGGAGTCTGCTCTAGAAGGAACTAGCCCTGGCTACTGTGAATATAAGCCAAGCCTCTTGGCAGCAGGGACTTTATTTAGAAATACGAGCACATCCTCTGAAATCAGGTAGTTGGGACCCACATCATTTTTATGCATAACCTGAACTCGCATGGTCTTTGTTCAGAGTACTAAGTCTGGATGGGTCTGGTACAGGCTTATCAAGATTGGCAAAACCAGCAACTCACACGCATAATTACTGTTCTCTCCAAGCAACTTGAGTCATCAAGATTGTCCAGTCCAGTTCAGAGATGCTCCAGTTGAGACTCCTGTAAAAAAAAAAAAAAAGGATTTTTTTCTTCTGGATAAACAAGATTAAACATGCAGAAAGTGCATTTCTATAACTTCAAACGGAATCTGGACTTAGGAGCAAGCATCTTCTTCAACAGTCCACATCGGAGTAAATGAACCACACCAAAGGTCACTAAATGTCAATGTTCTGTAATTCTCAGCCTTCAGAGGATCAAAGAAATTTAAAGAAATGGTTCGAGTTGAGGCATTTGGCAAAATAATGAGGTGAAAGGCTTTCACAGTTTTCTGGAGGGAAAAAAAACAGAAATTGGACATAATTCTTAAAATCTTCGTTTAAGCATTACTAAATAAAAATGTTGTGTTTCCATTTCAGGGTTAGTGAAATGTCAACAAAAGAAAATAGTGGTATAAAAACAAAAGAGCTGTGTTTTGGTTGCTCTCAGAACGTAAGGAGTTTATTTATTTAAAAATCTGTGACACTGGCAAATAAGATGTTCAATTTAAAATAGCTTGCCAGGTGTTGTTTTGTTTGGTTTTTTTTTCCCTTTTAAGCTGTACTCATATGATAAATTAATTTTGCTAAAAATACACCACCAATTCAGCACAAGTCTTTTAACAATTCATCTCCTTACCTGGCATACTGTTGCCCCCTTAGAACAGCCCAAGGAACTGATCCTGAAAATGCCCAAGGAGATTAAAAGAAAAGCTTCAATTGATTGTTGAAGATTAACTGTCAGCAGCGTAACTGATCAGTCGTTTGGGGAATTTCATTGTTGTTGCTGCATCTTTTCCATCAGCCGGCCCAAAGGGATTTCATTAACATCTCACTAGTACCTCTGACTAAGTAGGAATTTTGACTAGATTGTGAAAGCTTCTAGAAATAATCTATTTTGAAGTGTTAAGCATATAAATGCAAATTGAGTGGAACCAGCTGTTATTTACATTCTCTGGGTACAGGATTCCACTCCCTGATGGACAGAAAAATAAATGCCATTGAAAGAACATGAAGAAATTGGAAAAATATGGATCTAGTAAAAATATATGCAATGGACCACATTGTTATGGTGGCAAATCTGTGAAGCTATACCAATTTGTACCATCAGGCAGCCCACCTGCCAGAAGATTTGAAGAGCTCCATGTATTTTTTGGAGAAAGGCAGGGGGTTGAAGGAATGAACACTCTGAAAACAAAAGCATATGAACACATTAATGTTTCAGCCTTTTATGCAATGGCTAACAGAGGGCCAGGCGTTTTCAGAAATAGTCTCACAGAACAAAGCCCCCATTCATAACAAGACTTTGCTATGGACTTCCGTTAGCTTAAGATTATGTTTTGGAAAAATTACAAAAGCTCACGAAAAATGTAAGTAGGATATTCTAGACCAGTGTGCCTGCAAGTGGAGGGCTGTGCTGGAGGGAAAAGAAAGCACAGCATGAAAGCTCCCCCCTTCAGTGAATCCAGGCCTTACCTTTGTGTCAGGCCGGCAGAGGCCCGCCTGCATGTCCTCTGTACGTGTCCCCCCTTCACTTAACCTGCAGGAGATCCCCACTGCCGCGTGTTCCACTGGAAAACTCATGCTCCCTTCCGCCGCGGCTACTTCTTTCTGTAACATCACTGGCAACCACTGTAAAACAACCGGTAACAGACTGTCCTCAGAGAAGGTGAGGCACTTTTAAAAATGTACACAAAACGTGGCTGCTAATTTCATTTGGGCCAAACCCACTCAGTCAAATCAGCATTAGGAACCTGGGCTGGGGAATGAAAGGTGGGATTGTTCTGCTGGGTTTTCCTTATAGAAGGGAAAAGAAGATGACACAACCAACACGGCGAAAGCTCAAGCAGCGCAGAAACACTTGATTCTTAGAGCTTGTAGAGTGATTCCCTGCAGGACTAGTTCTGTTTGTTGGGATTGCTCTGTGTCTGCCAGCACACAAAATCTGTCCTAACACAGGCAAACGTGGGACAGGAATTTCATTCTTATTCCTTTTTAGATATAGACTCCTGCCTGCCATTCTGTCTTAAGCAAACGATACATCTGATGGCTAAATGCATCCTTCAGCTCCTTTTCAGAACAGAGACTGATCCACAGCAGCAGGTTTTACAGCTCCATTCCATCTAGCATGATGTGGCCTGAAATGCCAGGGAAAAATTCTGCTGTGCCTCAGGCATCTTTCTGGATCAAATTTATTCCCAGAGGGATAATTTATCAGAGAAGTGAGCTATGGAGAGAATGCTAAAAATAGTGTTAAAATTTTGAAATACAGGGCAATGGCACTGGAAGTCAGAAAAGATGTCTAGCCCAAACTCACACTTTATAAAAGGCTCTGTGTATTTTGTAATAATTATGGATATTATTTCCCCTCCCCCATTCACTTATGAAGACAGAGAGATAATAAATAAACTTCAGCAAATCTGAATTTGGTTACACAGAGCCATCTGTTAATTCTGGTATATGGCAGTAGAGGGCATCTAAGGACTTCAAGTCACATATGGTAAGGGATTAAAATCTGATGGCTGAAGGAGTTACTACTCTCATCTTCAACCATTCACCCCACCCCATGACAGAGTTTGTCATCTCACGACCAAACCAGCTCATGAAGCTGCTCCTGAATGACCACAGTTCTGAGCCACACTGAAACTGGGGTTGATCTGAATTCACCAGGCTGACAGCCGGAGTTGTTTAGGAGGAGATGCCCGAGTTAATTTCTCACCCCTGCTGCAGGCAGCGGTCTGCCAGAGCCATGGGAAGGATGGTTCAGGTACAGTATAAGGAGAGACAGTAACTGCCTTGAGCAGTCTATCCAATTTTATCTAGTACTGTTTGAGCTTTAATTTCTACATGCCTGGCAAAACTGCGTACAGGAGGGGCAAGCAATCCTGGGAATGGGCCAGCAGAGCCAAGAAAAGGCAAGCTGTGGACCAATGCTCTTTCCTTAACCAGGAAGAGTAGCCCTCTGTCTGTTTCCTCTGTTGAGCCCAAAAAGTCTGTCTGAGTCTGTCTGTCCGGCCTGTATTTCAGTTTACGTCCTCCCAACATGCCAGTCAGTTGCAGGATGATGCCTTGAGCCTTCCTGACAAAAAAAACCACCCAAGCACTAATCATGATAAATAAAGAGAGGGAAGGTAGTTGGCAGCTACCACTGTTTTCTTGTCATCTGTTCAGGTTTGTACGACATTCCACATCCAGCCTCTCTTTATGCTGAAGCAGGGAAAGCAGCCATGCCTGTCTTGAGCCAAAAGAAGCCAACACATCAGAGGCAGGTTAAGTTCATTACCTGACGCTAACACTTAGTGTACTAATCTGAAAAATGTATTGGGTCCAAGCAGCATACAGACATACCATGGGCAGCATATTTTCAATTAACTGTAAGAAGTTTAAAATTATATGAACACATTAGTACACGTTGATTAACCTGTTATTTGAACTCCTAAATACAGCAACACGTCAGGCCTTATGCTCAAGTCTATTATAGCCTTAGTCTGAAATTTAAAAGTGGCTCATGCCCAGGAAAAGGTTCTACAACTCATTTAATGATTCACAGTACTCCTGAAATGATATTCATCTGTCTGCTTTCCATGGCAGCACTTTCAATCATAAACACTTAATTGTAGGAATTCATCCTCAAGGCCAAATAGCTCTGGGTGAATTAAACCATCTTTAATAAAAGAACTAGAACAGTGATTTAGAATTAATCTTTTTCTGATGGGAGACCATTTATTCAGAGACACATAACCCAGTTTCTTCTTCATCTTCATTTTACTTTTGCACTCAAAACTCTCTCCTTTGGAGATAGCCACTGCATCACCTGTTTTAATTTTCCTCATTAGTTTCAGAACTGAATCTTTGCCAACAAAGGAACTTTCATTACTTACGGACTGGCAGGGCCCAGGATTGCTGCCTGCATGCCGTCTGTCAGGAAAACTTTTTTCACAGACATTACTTGCTCTCTTTTACTTTGAGAAGTAGGACTCGCAACTGGCAAGAAAACTTCTCAAGCCTCCTCAAGCATAAAAGGCTTGTTTTTTCTGGCAGCATCTAGGAGGAGAATGCAAGATTTCAGAGTGCTTTCAGCTGTGCTATCTCTAGGATTTTTCTAAAAGGAAGACAAGAATATACATTTCTCCAAAAATCCAGAACTTCAAAGAGGGTGGTTGTGAACGTGTGTATGTATAGGTGTATGCGTGTGTATATATATATCTATACACTCTTCCTCAGGCACAGACACGCTTTCTCAGCCAAAAAATCAAGGTAAATAAATATTACAGTCACAGCAACTTATACTATAATCCAAATACTAAAATCCATAGCAAATTCTCCTAGCAGTTGTTTAAAATGACTGCTATCAAAATGGTTCTTGCACGTAGTCTTTTTTTCTATCGTGTTCATAAAAAGGAAGCATGATACGGAAGAAAATGCTGTCAAAGCATGTAAATTTACCAATTATCCTCGGGTAACTTTCAGCAGTATTTAGCTAGTTCTAGTCAGAGGGAAATTGCATAGTTCACAGAATAACAGGGGCAGAACAGAATTCTGCTCACTGTTTGTAACAAAGCCTAACACAGTATACGGTAAAAACTGCTGTGTAAATTATCTTTTTTATACTTCGTACCTTGTGTTGCCACATTCCACTTTCCTTAACAAGTCCAGCAAAATTATTTTTATGTTTTGGTGTTTTTTATTTTTTTTTTTACTTTAAACTGTAAATAGTAAATTAGAGAAACTATAAAAGCACTACATTTGATGTTTTTAATGGAAGATCCTAAGTATGGCTAGATAATTTTTTACTCAATGCAGTTAAGGCCTTTAGATGCTACTCTAAGTTTTAAATAGTATAAAGCACATGATGAGAGAAGGATTTAGATGCTATCTTTTCATGGTCGGAGTTTCATGCTTGCTAGATTATCCATCTACCTATCCACTGAACTAAAGGAAATGATCCTGCTTTTTTTTTCGACCGTCCCTGAAAGAAAATAATCTGGATGTTATTTCAAAGTACCACTCTCATAGGTCTATCTCTTGATGGTTTGCTTTTAAATTACAAGTGCTCGTTTTCTTTTAGAACACCACTGATTCGTAGATATTATTCACTCAATTTTTGAATATTCTCTTTTACCAAATGTATTTTCTCAGGAAAGACAAAGCATTCACAACTGAATAGACAAAAATGGCAGGAAATAAGGTGGCAGCTGGTTAAGAGTAAAATTGTTTGGTATACATCATAATTTATTTCATCAAAACATTCTGTTCTTTGGGAAGCTGGAAAGAGACGAGTGATCCTATTTATGAAAATACTTGTCTTCTCTCTGCTGTATTTATTATGGTTTAGGAACTCTGTGAAACAAGCAAACCTTCCTCCTGACTGCTGAGTGAGAAATTCTCTAAGGGCTCGCACTGTGGACCTTGTTTGTGGTGTGGAGCTACAATTAACTTGTTCTAATTTGCTTGAAATAAAAGCTCAATATTTGTATTTCTTTGTCTGAGAACCAGATGTGCTGCCTGACCACTGTAATCACAGGACAGGGAGGAACCGTGGCAGTAATACATTGTTATTTAGATCAGTTCAGGTAAACAGTTGTCAAAATGCGGTCAATAAATGGACATATGTGATAAGCAATAGCTGGCCTTTTAACTAAAGCAGATTTTATCTGATCAAATGGTATGTCATGGATAATGGATATTCTGTACTGCATCTTTGGGATGCGAGGATGCGGAGAGCAAGCAAAGGCCCCCTGTATTCTTTCAGGCAGATAGATAAATCTAGCTAAAAAAATCAGTAAACCTTTTCAGCAAATCAAAGCAAATTTAGCAAAAGCAGCTGAGCCAAAAATTCATTACCCCCTCCTCCACTCACGTCATATTATATAAATAAATCAGCGTGCTAGCTCTCCAGTAAATTTGGCATACTTTTCAGGAACAAAGTGAAAAGCATTTCTAGCAACAGGCACTTCAGGCAATTGTAAAAACGTTGCTGCCTCCTTCGTTGGTCATGAAAGGGATTTTTGCCTAAAAGAAAAATAAAAAATAAATCCACTCGTCCCTCCCCTTCTCTTTTTGAGCACACACATCTGAAACCAAGTCAGAAACATAATAAATTCTGCTTGTGATTTTCAAGAACTCTTAATATTCATGTTTTCACTACTAGTATAAATCTCGATTAAAAATATCCAATATATGGATGATATATTACCCAAACCAAAACATTCATGCACAAAAGAAAGTATCTGGAAAAGAAATCAGAGATTCCGTAAGTTTGTGCCTTTCATCTCCAGTTGGATGATACGCCACTAAAACTGGCTCAGAAGAATTCATAACTCTATACATACAGGCAGTATTTGTCCCAGAATTGCTACCCCAAAATATACAGACTAAAAATAAATAAAGCACTTGGCTTGAATTGTACTTACAAATTTAAAATCCCTATTTGTATGAACTGATTTTCTCTTCATATTAGTGACTCTGTTTTGAAGAATTACTGTTTGTTTAAAAAAACTTATTTTGTTTACTTGATGGAAAGCTAAGTTTTCAGAATCTGAGATCTCCATGCTGCTTCTTTTCTTTCTTCATTTCACATCTTTCTCCTACTCCATTCTAATTTTTTATAAAGTAAAACACTTAAGGCAGACCAAGTATGTATTAAACATCCTACTGCCAAAGAAGCTAAAAAGTAGCTTAAAGTAGTTTAATGCACCACATGTGGCCCATAATCCCCAAAGTAATTTAATTTAATCACCTTTTCTTACACTTAAAAATTATTTTTTTCTCCCCTGTGACTGTGTGAAAGACTCACACAGACAGAGGAGAAAACCAGCTAAATAACATTGTTGAAAGAAACAGTGAAATACTAACTTATTCCACCGAGCCTATAGTACTTACGGAAGTCTCATACCAGAGAATAAAGGTAACTGTGAACCGAAGTACTCTTATGAGGTGCCAAAAGTGTCATTTAAAGATCGATTTGCAGTTTTTAAGTCTGAATTTCATTACTCTTGTAAATTTATCAGATCTTTAGTACTATTTTTAAAAGACATTAACTTCTCATGAAAAAAAATTGACAGAACTCTGTTTAGGAAAGATCCTGCTGATATACTGCCTATTTTATTTTTATTCTGCCTTTTTCATAACAATACCTGAAGTTTTAAGTAACAAATATTTATTACATTCTTCTGTTCTTGTTTCTCATTCACCACATAAATCATGGTCTTCCTCTCTCTGCCTTTATAGCAGCCAGCTGTGGTTTTAGAAACAAATTATTATGACTTCAAGTGGCGAATAAACAGCAGAAGCAAAGGAAGTCTTGAGATACTATCCACATAAAAATGCCATTAATAAATAACACAGGGAAAGAGAACTACAGCAAAGCTGTAAAAAAGCAGCTCTGTATCTAGACAAGATGCATTCCATTTCTCCAAGATGAATTAGTGAACTTTGAGGGAGTAGCCCTAATCTGAACACTATTGTATCAAAACTACATATTTTTGAGCAAAAGCTCAGTGCCTGCATATACATATAGGGAATTACTTTAGTAATAAAAACAGAACTGTATTCCTTTTTTTTTTTTTTTTCCCTCTTCTGAGCACAATTAAGCCAGTGCAATTCTAAGAAATAAATCAGATTTTACGCAAGCTCTCACACCATTGGTAGCAGAACTGCCAACTAAATATCAAAGGACACAGACATATTCTCTCTCCTCTTCACACCTACCCAATGAAAAATCTGTAGGGATTCCATAAGAGTCACTGGAGGCTGAATCTGAGACTATCCGAACTGCACGGATGAAAACAGGAACAAGAATGACCTTCAAGACCTAAATTGTTTTAAACCATTTCTGAGAACGCTTAAGTAAGAAAGCCAATGTTTGTTCCTCAAACCTCATTTCAAATCTGCGGTGCTGTCAGTGATTAAAACCACCTTTTTTCATAAACTGAATAAATTAAATTCAAAAGCACTCAGACATTACAAACAGATGAAACCATACTGACCAATTCACTTAACAAAGTAATTTTTTCCCCCCTCAGATGAATCTGCTTAATTGCTAAATACAGAACTTATTTTTTAAGAGAACTATTAACTCTATATGCTCTTCACCTTACGTTAAAAAATTCTAAGTATCTATTGCAAAAGCCTTCAGGAACTGTCTTCCAATGTCTCTCTCTCTTTTTTTTTTTTTTTTAAAAAAAAACAAAAGTTAAAGAACCATTGAATTTTAGGAGTTAGGGGGACTACGACCCAAGACGGGAGTGTCCCTGTGGGAGCTCTCTGTGGCGCAGGGGAGCCGGTGCTGCCCCGCTCCCTCAGCCAGACCCTCCAGCCTAATACATATTCATTTATCCCTTTGATGACAAGGGCTTGCCTCCACCCCCTCTTCCCCGATTTTTAAAGAGATTATTCTCTATCATTTTAATTTTTTTTTTTCCCTGAGGACTTCAAAAAGGCACCCCTTAATCCTTCTCCCGTCAAACCCGAAAAATACCCCCTTCCCAAGCGCCGCCGTGCAATTTGCAGGGAGCCCTGACCTACTGCCAGGGGCAGGGGTGAGACTAATACGGCTACTTTTGCTTTGTTTCCCGTCTTTTCTTTCCCCCCCTTTTTTTTTTTTCTTTTTGTGTGTGTTTCTTTCTAAAGTCGGCTCGAGGCCGCCCGGGCAGCGGCGGAAGGCGGCTGGTTTACCGAGCAGCACCCGCGGCGCAATCAATCATCTTTGCGCCGAAAAACAGCTTCGGGTTTATTAAAAAAAAAAAAAAAAAATTAAAATAATTAAAATAATCATATAAAAAGCTCGTTTAATCGATCCGATCGCTCGCAGGGCCGCGCTCCCGCACCGCGGCTCGGCTCTGCCGGCGTCGCCATGGCAACGGCTCCCGGCTCTCGGAGTGAGGCCGCACCGCGGCCCCC